CCAATTGAATCCATTGTTTGTTTATATATTTTTCCTTATGTTTCAGGACCATAGTCTCCCTACCTCCTTTGGTTTTCCCATCATGACATCCACTCATGACAGTGCACCACTTATGGCAATCAAACAAACAGACCTTTTCCTCCCACCACTTACTGAGCAAAACATAATTGCTGCCTTACTCATGGCGTGAAAGATAATAACCAAAGCAAAATTTATTGCAGTAAATGTTTTCAGTGACCCACGAAAGGCAAGGTACCCCTAAGGATTGATTGCACGGTCTGAAATATCCTGTAAATTTGTATCCAAACAATATCCAGAAGCATTGGGGGAAAAACGCATTTGAAAAGGCCAAATATAAAAGCACAAATAAAATTAAATGTTTAGTAGCAAATAAAAGTAGAAAACACAAGAGATGTTTATTTAATCAGAACATGTTATATTCCCTTCCGCTCGCATAGTTTCAAGATAGACTATTATTCCTGAAGGAGGCTTCTTATGTGTCAGACACAATGGTAGGGGCTTCCATACATATTCTAGAATGTTGTATTCTGAATTCCACTTGAGTTTTTAACATTGGTGCAAACTGCTTTCTCATTGCTTGTAAGGACTTCTCAATGAGTTGAACACAGAATAAGAGACTCAGTTTTGGGCTTCTGCATTATCACTTAGTGGCAGACAGACCATTTAATCTGTATATAGTCCTGCTCTTACTTTTTAGGCTTTAATTATACACATTGTCATTAACACTGCCAGCACTGTCAACTTTTAACAGGAAATCAAATTACATGTGAATGAACCTGATCCATAGAGAATTATATCCTCTACACTATCAACATCACGAATGCTATTATTTAGAGTACAGTTGCCTGATACGAGAAATAATCCTATTTTTATGGAAAACCCCAACAGTCATTTGGATGAAAAATTTTAAATTCATCTGGTTAATCCTGACAATTTGGGGGAAAAAAAAACAGTGAAATATCACCAACAGCCTTATGATTTCA